TCTCAGATATTTTGTTGTTTCGGTTGCTATGGGAACATGTAGATAGGCATCTTTTAAATCTAATGTCGCCATAAAATCTCCCTTGTCCTGGATGTGAGTAGCCTATTGGATAGATTCCATCCGGAAATTCTGGTATGGAAAAATTCTTTTTCTGCACCTTCAAGCAGACAACTTTCAATCACTTAAAGCCATACATTTTGAGCCTTCATTACAGACACCTTCTACTGCGGCCTTACTCTGAAAACCTGCTGCTTGGAACACCCTCCTACAAGATATTTCTGCTCATCTATCCATGGGATTCTTTAAGCCCGATGCCTCACTGATTGATTGGCAGGGTAGATTTTTAGATAGTTGTGCAACCTGTGTGTCTACTTTAGGTAGATCTTCCTAGCTCAACTCTTCTTGCAACCAGATTAATTCTTTAAAATGCTTGGAGAGCAAGGCTCTTTTTTCTGGGTTCTTTCATTCCCTATAAACTAGTTCCATTAGTTTAGGATCTAGTGGCAAACCTCTGATCTTTTTTTGTCAATATATCATCTGCTAACACTGCCATAATTTCCTTAGTTAACCTTTTCATTTCCTCAGTAGGAAACCCTTCCTCTACACTCGAAGCTTGACTGGCGAGTGACGAGTATGAGGTGTCTGAGCATTCTCCAGATAATAATTCTGAAAAAGATCTCTCCCTCTTACGCTTCCTGGAATGCTTCTCCTGTGTCGGCATATGCACTCTAGACGTCTCTTTAAAAGACTCAAAGGTTTGCGCTTGGTTGTCCTGGAACCAGTGGAGGAAACTCTGCATATTGTTTTGTTTTGTTGATTCTAAACTCTCCGCAGAACAACTATTACACAACATTTTTCTGCATCCATCTGCCAGTGGAGTAGCACATTCACCACAGGCATTATGCTTGGATTTGAACACATCTTTTTTCGGTGCAGGTGCTGTTATTCTCTCCTTTTCTAAATCGTTAGGAGATGTTGGGCAAGACATCTGCAAAAAAATAATTACCTTAAGCAACAATTCCATATAATACATAGATAAAACAGAAACCTTTTAAAGAAAAGATAATATTTCTTACCTTAAAGGTTTATGAACCCTGTGGGGGCTCTGGTGACATGGTAGACCCTCCAAGGACACCTTCCATGTCTGTACTGAGGATCTGCACAGCATTTATAGGCACCAAATGTGAAATCTGTGGCAAATTTTTGAATTTCCGAGTAGCGCATTCGGAACTTCGGTGGAAGTCAAGGCCACCCGGGCGTACCTTCCACCGCTGTGCACAAGGCTTGCATTGCTATTGGCGAACCACCTGGGAACCACCTGGGAACCTCTTAACGAAGACGGCTTCACTCAACATAACATGCTGCTGGATTACTTGCACCGTAACCTTCCTCGGAGCAAGGCTCTCAGCTCACTATCCAGGGAGCTATCGGCCAGGTCCGATGTCCATCCCGAATGGGACAAGAATAAATACTGAGAGTCCAGGGCTTGAAGCAGTTATTTAAAAGGGAAGGAGGCGGGACTATTTAAATTTATATATTTATTTTACAGTCGGTTTGTCCCTAAGAAGATATACAACTCACTGGTACTGCCACAATATGTTAGGAAAAAGAGGTATTCTTCTTGTGCAAATTCTTGGGTCAGAAGTGGCCTGCAATTTGTGCGAACATATGAAAGAAGCGGAGAAAGAATCCAATGGTACAGTATATTCCAATCAAATTATGGGGATTATACGTGGGGATAATGCCACTCTATGCCTTTTAAACTAGAGCTGCTATTTGCTCTGGTAAATGTGAATACATCTCTTTTTATTTATTATCCAGTTAATTTGATTGGGATATACTGTACCATTGGAATCTTTATCTGCTTCTTTTATATGTTCGCACGAATTGGAAGCCACTTCTAACCCAAGAATTTGCACAAGAAGAATACTTTCTTTTTTCGTGACCTGGTCTGTTTCCTTGCAAGTTGCACTTTCCACTTTTATTTGGACATTTTTATGGACTTATGTACCTTTTTACCTTTTATTTTTTAAGTCTTTTTATATAAATATTTTTATATCAGTATAAAAATTTCCTTATCTTTTTTTTTATATATTCTATGCCATAATTCATTGTTTAGTGAACTAAAGCGCGTGTTTGTGTGCTGTCAGTTGTGTGTGTTTATTTACAGTGAATTTAGCAAGTACTTGTTAGTATTGTGCATGTATGACAACGTGTGCCTATTTGTGAGTAGTTCTTACTGTCAATACTGTTTATAAATATTTGTGCAGACGTGGTTGTAATTGTGTGAATTATTAGTGCGTGTACATGTAGTGTTATATTTATGTGAAATGTTAGTATGTGTGCATATAATGTTGTATGTATGCAGTGTCAGTGTCTGTGAATTCTGGGTGTATTTGTATGTTTTCAGTGTGATTGTAGAGTTCTGTTAATGTGAAAAGTCTGTGTGTGTGTTTGAAGGGGTCTATATATGTGAAAGGTCTGTGAGTCAATGGAACATGGCAGGGTAGCCCGCTCTCACCGATTCTATATATAATGTCACTGGGACCGCTGGCTTCTCAGATTAGAGATAATAATAGGATAAAAGGGTTCAGAACAAATTCTGGCAAATTGAAACTGAACCTTTATGCAGATGATGTGATAATGACCTTATGTCCCGAAAAGGCTTTGGAAGAAACGGTTAGGGTCATAGAACAATTCTCTGAGGTGTCTGGGTAGAAGCTAAATTTTAACAAAACAACAGCTTTAATAAACAACGTTTTGGTTCAAACTAAAGAGCTATTGAAAAATAAATATAGATTTGTTTGGTCATCAAGTATGAAATATTTGGGTATAATGATATCCTCAGACCCAAACAAAATAATAGAAGAAAATTTCTTCCCTCTTCTTAAACAAATGTCTAAACAGTTGAAAGGTTGGGGAAAGATGGAATTCTCATTCTGGGGAAGAATAAATATTCTAAGATCATATGTCCTCCCCAGGTGGCTATATCTTTTTCGTACGGTACCTCTTTCTGTACCCAATAGTTGGCTATCTATGATTTAAGCTGCATTTAGGAACCTTGTATTGCGTAATAAAAAAACCGAGGTTAAAAATTATATTGTCTTAAATTGAGACCCGCCAAAGGGGGTTTGTCTATGCCAGATATGTATGAATGTCATGCATTTATGACACAAAATTAATCTTCAAGAGAAGAAAACTGGTATAAGGTGGAAAAAGACTTAGTGTAGGGATTCTGGACAACAAACATCAAAAAGGCCAATAGTGGGAAGGTGTTTAATTATGAGGCACATTTAAAATAATTGGCAGAAATTTAGGAAGAAAATAAAGTTAAACAACAAAGTCCTAATAAATACTTCTCTGGGAAATTTATAATTCTTTATTTTTTGTGTGCATATGATTAACAGACAGTTGTACAATGCCCTAGCAGCATTTGCAAGACAGTTTACGACAAAACATAATAGTTACAGGGCATTTGGATATACTGCACAATTTTTTAAATGCAATGTAAAGTACAGGCTACACATAACATATCTAGATTAACTATTAAGAAAGATACTGTTATGGGCAAATGCAAATATTACAAGTTTTAGAATGAAATGTTGTATTTCTTAAACTGTGTACTTTGTCTTTAAGAGATATTGCAAACTGACAAGGTGTTAGAAATGGAACATATTGTTTTTCATAACTGTTTCTTTAAGCAAAACCTCAGTGCATAATATGTTTGCGCCATTTTGTCCCAGACGAATTACAATAACAAAAATGCATAAACAACCTTCAAGGCTATGCTACGACTCTTTCAGTACGTAATATACTGTGGTAACCTTAGTAGATAAGGATGTTCAGACTTTAAGATGCCATTTTGAACTAAGTCAGGAAAATTTCCATGACGTTTGCACCCTTTAGTTATGGCCTTGTATGTTTGCCAAATTAAGGGAGGTCCTAAATTGAATAAAGTAAAAGAAGTGTTACTTTTTCATATTTGAACTACAGTAACCTAAAATGGAGACATCTAAGGTATAAATAGGTGTACTTTTAAATGTGAAGAAACAGAGGAGAGACTTGGAGACAGACGCTGCTCCATCTTAAAATGACAGAGAGGCTGACATGATGACATGTTCAGAAGGGTATGTTAACCTATTAATGATATTTGCAAGCATGTAATTTAAATCTTATAAACTCTGCTATAATGGATTTTATATTTTTATATAATAAATATCAAAAAGACAATCTTGCTTCCAAGACAATCCTTATTTTATATTGTATTCTCAATTATTTATATATGTTAAATAGAGGATCTCTAACACTATATAAAATTATGGCTAAGATATCTGTATGGTTAGCCCTACTAAGTTCTATGCTTTAAGACATTATAGTGGTAAATAAGGGAACCACACACGGTTACAATACTAAGCTATGCAAAGTCATAGACATGGTAATAAAAGTCTCTGGGAAATTTTGCGAATAATATAAAAGATATTAATTTGAGCAAATGGCATAGAAATGGGCTAAGGACAATAAACACTCTATTAATGGATAGGCGTATTAAAACTTTGACAGAAATTTCTGAAAAAGCACAAGAACTTAAAGGTGAAATTTTTACTTATTTACGAATAAAAGGATACATTAGGAAACATCTATGCCTAGAACCCAAAGAACCAATTACAAAGATACAAATAATCCAAAGAAAGCCCTCTGTTCCTGTGTGTCCAACTTGTCTGGTTACAACTACATGTTTGTCCACCCACTGTAAAGCACTGCAGAATTTGTTGGCGCTATATAAATAATAATAATAAAGAATTAATCAAAAGGTACGCTAGCTTTATGTAACAATCTGCTAAGATTGGTGGAGAAAATAAGCCCAACCAAGACCGCAGAGAAATGGGAAAAAGACATACAAGTTAAAATCACCCAATAAGAGCTTTTCAAAAAGTTTGTAAATCAGTAAAATGCCTGATTTTAACAGCGATACAATTTTTTTTTTAATTCTTTATTTTTGTTGTGTAAAAATCAAGTAACAGGCAAGCTGATTTTGCCACGATAGCACAGATCAGCATATTAGAGGTTACATGTCTTGACATAGACGTGGCATGCGTGACAATTACACATTTTTCGTGAAGGTATAAGAGAACAATTCTTTTGGTACAAACAATTAGATTTTATGGTAACGCTATGCTTAACAACCGTTTAGTTAATAAAAGAAGAGAAACATTACACGCTAAGTATGTGCATCCAGATTGCTATTTGGGCAGATGAGAGATCGTGCACAAGATTATCATCAGCTCGTCAGGCTTATAGGGTACAGGTTTTTCTAGTCGTTTGTGACATTAGTCTGCATTGAAGTCCATGCCTAAATTACATGCTAAACAAATTAACATTAACATTTCTTTGGTTAGGTCTCTGAATGTCTAAATGAGATGTACTTTTTAAAGGATCCAATAGTAATCAAGAGACACAGGATAGCCCTGTGTGATAGATCTCTAAGATGAGAAACACAATTGCTGAATCCTGGCTAGCGTGAAAAATTATTACCGGCGGGTTGCCCGTAAGGCTAGTTAGACAAGCCGATGTACAGCAGTGATTGTGACATTTCTTGCTGACCATAAACATGCTAGACCTTGCTAAATAAAACAGTACAGTTATGCTTAATTATGCATAGGTGTGAGACATACATTTTATATACTAGCGACTGATCTGAGTAGAAAAGACACAAAGTAGGTATGGCTTTAAGGTTTAATATTCCCACTGTGGATAGGTGGTGCGTGTGGGGAAACTTAGGCGTGATGAGCGTGTTGTGTGGCGGGTGGTTGGCTACGCAAGTGTTATGGTTCTGTCTATGTGCAGGGAGTCACGTGTTAATCACGGACATTAGCGTCCTGTGTGGGCTGCAATAAGTGGTGTGTGGCTGCGGGGTCATAGGGGATATAGTTTACGTTAGCTGGGTATCAACCTGGGTACTAATAATTACCAAATGGTAAGACAAAGGGCAACAACAGTCCGGTACTCAGTTGTGGGGTATAGCATGACCCCCTCGTCCGTCACAGCCCGAGTCTCTGGTATGCGGGTCCGGAGAGCGTCCGTGAGAGTTGTGAGGGTGGTCGGCAGTGGTAGGAGGTTTGGCAACAGTTAGGGAGCGCCAGTCTCGGAGGGCCAGAGAATCAGCCGATGCCACTAATGGGCCACTTCATGCAGTCTCTGTTCAGGTCGGCTATGGAATGGGTGAGGTGGATTGAGCCTCTGAGAGCTGCCGGTCCCTCTGCTGAGTGGAGAGGCGGTGAGGAAGCTCCCTGGTCCCAGACCCGTGCAGAGGTCCGCTTCTCTGCGTTGCTGGCTGGAGACTTGGCATAGTCCAAGTCCTTCCCCACAAGGGGAGAGCGGGTTGGGTTGAGGTCTTACATCGCCTTGTGAGTAATTTGCTCTGCTTGCGTGGTCGCTGGCGGGGCGCCAGTCTTTTGGTGACTCCCCGCCCAGGAAGGTGGTTGTCACTTGTGGCGGGTGCTGGACGCTGGTGGGTGCCATTTTGTGATCCGCGGCCATTTTTTGTTTCCCGCCTCTGGTCTTTCGCTTGGGGATCCCGTTTGGGATTTGCCCCTCTTGTCACCAGCTTCACCCAGAAGGCCTCCAGAAGAGTATCAAGATTTGATGCTAGGCTTTCCTGGGACACTGTTCTGCAGTGAGTGATTATTCGCTTTGTTTGGCTGTGGCATGGGAGTGTGTCCGCCATCTTGTGCGTCGACTTGAACTCTGCGGTTTCGATGTGTGGTCTGCCAGGGGTCATCCACTCCGTAGGCAGTGTAGTGTGGACCGGGATCCGGATTTCCCCCCCGGCCCAAGGGTGGGGTAACAGGACTCTGTGTGGTCCTGCTGGGGGAAGAGATGAGGGTTGGGAAATTGGCCGCGTCTCCCTCCAGGCCGCAACTGCTCTGTAAAGTTTTTGGCGGTTGGCATCCCGGTTTTTCGGGCCGGTACACTCCAACCGTCGTCTGCCGCAGCTAAGTCCCTTTGTGGGTCAGGTTGTGAGCAGCAGGAATCGTGATACAATGCTTGGTCAGGTAGTTTGCTAGGGAGCTCCTGCAAGTTGCCACCTTCCGCCATGCTGGTCAGGCCCCGCCCCTCAACAGAGATGCAATTTAAGATCAATAATCGTATATATTTGGTTCCTAGTCATCTAAACAGGATGTGGTCTGGCCACACTGATAGGTGTTGGAGAAATATATTACATACATATTACATATATGGTGGAAATGTGAACTGATTCAGAGGTTTTGGGGACAGATAAAGGATAAAATCCAAGCAATAAGTAACATCAAACTCCCATTAAAGCCAGAATCCTATTTATTACACTTAAATTTTCCAAAAATGCCTAAAGCAGAGTATGACATAGTGGTACATATTTTGCTGGCAGCAAAGATCAGTATAGCTAGAAAATGGAAATCCTGTATTCCGCCATTATGGAGCGAAGTTAAAAATGAACTCCTCTTCCAATTAAATATGGAAAAAGGAATAGAGAAGTACCAAAATTTTACTCTGAAGAGGAATTACAAACGGGACCTATGGATAAAATCGATCCCTGAGTGAGCATTATAAATAAATACCCAAGAATAACTTGTGATGATATTTAATCTCTCTAGGAGCTGCCCTGCCAGACATGTATGTAGTTTTATATGTTTCTCCTTTCCAGTAAAAAGGAAAGGAGCATATTGGAAATGTGTGATCTTACTGAAGGGGCGAGTGTTTTTACATTGACTGTTCAGCTTGATTTTATGTTTTGTACGGTAGATTTTTTTTCTATGTCTGTTTTTGTATTTTTTGTAGTCAAAGTCAAAAAATTAAAAAAGAATAAATAAATGAAAGGTCTATGAGTGTGTGTGCTTGCACGGTTCTCTATTTGCAAAAGGTTGATGTGTGTTACTGCAGGGGTCTATAGTATATGGGAGAATCGGCAGCATAGGTGTGTGCACGGGGTGTGCCAGGTGTGCCTGGGCACACCCTAATCCCCGTGGCCCACACTATGTGCCTCCCTCCATGGGCCGGTGAGGAAGATCAAAGATCTCCCTCACAGACCCACAGGCCATCTGACCTCCTGTAACAGCATACAATCCAATTCCCCCCAAGAACGAGACGACACTTCATTTGAGGATCAAGCAGAACTGATTTACTGGGGCTACCTGCCCGGCTTTTATGCAGGTCTCCCACCTGGTGGACACTCCCCAAGGGAACAGATGGAAGACTGGGAAACATATTGGACATTGACCAATCACAAGCTTACAATCCCACAATGCATCACAATCCCTCCTCTCTGTCCTGGAGATAATTGGGAAGTAATCCAATTATCTCCAAGGACAGAGGCAAAACTCCATTAACCACATGGCAGACAAAGGACAATAAAAGACATAAAAATACATACTGTTACAGTTATCACATAGAACATACACATTCTACCTATCTGATAGCTTAGATCTGATAGCTTAGATCTGAGCGCACATTACTACCGGATGGCGCTCAGATCACATACATACGGTTCAATCGCCATGGAGCCAAAGTCTTTCATACAGTCTTTCAGTATACGGCTGGGCTCCATGGCATAGCTCCCTGGGGTAGCATGGTTTAAACAGTAAAGTACCGAATGGACCGTTGTTCGGATAATTGATTGTGGTAGGTTAAAGGGGGTTGGCGGCTCAGCGGTGTTCGTGACTTTAACAGTCCGCAGAAAGGCACGAACCAGCCTTTCCGTAGGGAAAAAGAACAGTGTTAAACATGGGGCCATAGTCCAGCCATGGACGGACAACCAGGCTCCTCCAGTGGCCTGTGGCGAGGTTGGTTCTGCCACATATGTATATATATATATATATATAAATATATATATATATATATATATATATACGCGGTGTGTGTTTGCGCTTTAGGGTGCACTACCTTATACAATAGGCTGCGCATGCCTATGATCATCAGTATATGAGTGTAACACACCACCCTCACCAGCCACACTTAGACCCTGCAGAAACCTGAAATCCCTCGATCTGCAGCAATTTACCATTGATATCCTATTGCAAAATAACCTTTATAACTCTACCCTCTCAAGTACTGTAGACAAGCTATGTCCACTCACTGAAACCCTGTCTGTCATACCAACCCTGGCATACGAAATCCGCCTCCAAAGGTGCTCGAGGGTGGGGGAATGTTACTGGAGGAGGTCTTGTAATATGGCTGCCTGCACTATAAATTTATGTTGAGTTTCTACACCACTGCCTCTTCCATCAATAAAACAAACATACTTTACCTCCCTCATGTCCACCTTCTTGCATGACCCCAAATGCCTCTTTTAAACTTTTAATTCACTCCATTGGAGTTCCTCAAGGCTCTGTTCTGGGACTTTGTCTTTTATTAATTGACATCTGTGTGGTGTCTTACATATATTAAAACAGCGGCATTACAGCACAATGCTTGCGGCAATCTCACACATTAATGTACATGCATGCGCAGATATTATATTAGTACTAAATTTGCAAAGGTCTAAGAGGACAGGAGCCTCCGTTAGTATTTCCTTCTTCATATTCTCCTATAATATGGGTCTGCCACTGGTTTAGAGGCATGACACCCCTACTACAAATTTTTATCTCTGATTTCTCAGTATTTGCATTTACAGAAGGAATCACTGTCTAGTGTTTATGGACCTTTTGTATGCATGTGTATTTGGGGATCCACAAAAAACAGGTTTGCACAGGTTCACACAGGAGGAGGAAACAAGGGAGGCTAAAAAAATTAACATTTTGCAAGTGTGTCTTTTTGTGTGTATCTGTACGTCTGTTTATCTGTATGTGTGTCTTATCTGTGTGTGTGTATATCTGTGTGTCTTTGTATCTGTGTGTTATTCTGTGTATCTGAATGTGTGTTATTCTAGTTCTATGTCTGTGTTTCACTTTCTGCATGTGTGTTAGTGTTTGTGCATATTTGCATAGGCATCAGTGTGTGTATCTGTGCACACATGTTCACACCTAAAACCAAATAATGGTAAAGGTTTTTCAAATACAGAGCTATATTACATAATAAGCAGTTCTGATTGTTCACACTTTAGTGAATAAAAGATCTGATATATGATAGATATATTACAGGATAAGAACAGGAGATAAACTCTCTAATTATAAATATTGAGTATCTCAGGACTGTACACGTTATAGAACAATAAAATAAAATGTATGTGTGAATAAAGGATGTGAAATTTAAAAAAAAAAAATGTTTAGTATTATGAAAATCACAAATACCTTTATTAAAAAATAAATAAAAAAAAAGTCATTTCGAGCCAGCCAGGAGTCGAACCTAGAATCTTCTGATCCGTAGTCAGACGCGTTATCCATTGCGCCACTGGCCCGCTGACATGCATTACAGCATCACTCTTTCTCTATGAAGGTGTCCATCGATATTTGATTGGTTAGTTTCTTTGTTGCTATGGAGTTAATTTACGCCTTAGTAAGGAGCACTCGATAGAACACCGGCTTCTGACAGTAGACCACGCCCCTAATCTTTTTGCATACGTTTTAACAGGTCACCGTCCTTGTCAATCTACTTTAGTTCACTCTCTCATTGGTCAGAGTTCGCTCAGTAGGATAGCTCTTGATATGATTGGACAGTAGTTACTTCAATCAGTCCTTTCCTAATTGGCTGGTCGGTCTGCTGTCAGCAGTAAGGGGGCTTTCCTAGACAGCGCGCGTGGAGCGGAATACCAGAGCAAGATGGCGGCAGCGGGAAGCGGTGGAGGCCGTGTCTCAAGCGGACGGGATCTGAGCTGTGTCCCGGAGGTGGCGGACACGCTGGGGGCTGTGGCCAAGCAAGGGTGAGGCCTTTTACCATAGAGTGTCTCTATACAGCATATCCCTGCCTGTCAGTGTGTGTTAGCCGTGTGAGGGAGACCGGGCACATGTGTGCATCTCATGTCTGACATCCTCACATGGGACAGCCAGCCCTTTACATGGGACAGCCAGCCTCTCCATCCTCACATGGCACAGCCAGCCTCTCCATCCTCACATGGCACAGCCAGCTCTTTACATGGCACAGCCAGCCCTTTACATGGCACAGCTAGCCCTTTACATGGCACAGCCAGCCTCTCCATCCTCACATGGCACAGCACAGCCAGCCTCTCCATCCTCACATGGCACAGCCAGCCCTTTACATGGCACAGCCAGCCTCTCCATCCTCACATGGCACAGCCAGCCTCTCCATCCTCACATGGCACAGCCAGCCCTTTACATGGCACAGCCAGCCTCTCCATCCTCACATGGCACAGCTAGCCCTTTACATGGCACAGCCAGCCTCTCCATCCTCACATGGCACAGCCAGCCTCTCCATCCTCACATGGCACAGCCAGCCTCTCCATCCTCACATGGCACAGCTAGCCCTTTACATGGCACAGCCAGCCTCTCCATCCTCACATGGCACAGCCAGCCTCTCCATCATGGCACAGCCAGCCTCTCCATCCTCACATGGCACAGCCAGCCTCTCCATCCTCACATGGCACAGCCAGCCC